AATCTATGATTTTATTGTGTTTATCTCGTTACTGAACTACCTTAACACTCCATTGTTTATGGCCATGGAGAGAATATTGTAACATAATTTTTGTTCATCGAACAATTGTCTGGCTATGTCTAGGTTGGGAGTTTTTGGCCAGGCCAGTTAACCACGTACCAATGCCCCGAAATAAAGTTATATCCTGAACTTTGTATAAGAAGCCATAGGAGGAGAATATGCCTGCATAACCCATACAGCTGAATTGTTCCTTCTTTGATACTTTTTCGTTGTTGCCTACTTCCTTGCATAACTTCCCTGTGTCGCTTTAACCTTTCCTTGTGCACTTTCCAATTTTTGTATTCAGCATGTTTAGTCAAGCATATATTATTCCTGTTATTTGTTAGTTGTCTTTGGGGAGACTGTCTGCTGCTGTTGCCGCCGCCACCGCTACTGATTTTCACAGTGTATCACAATTTCCATTTGTTAGTGGTCCTTGGAGGACAGCATCAAGTTTGTGTGTGTGTGTGTGAATGTGTGTGTAGTAAGAAGATGCCGACTATGGCAAAAATAGGCAACAACATGTGCATCGACAAGCATTTCAGGCTCTCAAATGAATTGTAATTTTATTGCTTTGCGAATTTTGTGCAAATTAAGTGAATGTAAATATTGAAATTAAGTAAATGGATTGGAAATCTTTAAATTATTTATTAAAATAATTTCGAGATAGATTTAAGAATATATAAATATATATACAGGGTGAGATGAAAAAACTGCGACCAACTTCAGGCTGCTGTAATTTGTAAGTCACTCGTCCGACAGATGTTAAAATTATTCCAGTGACAGCTTATTATATTGTTTACAAGTGTACAAAAGCATTTTGGTGTGAATTTTTCAGAAAAAAAGTTATTCGTGATGGAATTCAAGCGTGAAAATGTGGTTTCTTTTTAAATGGCTTAAAAACCACAAGTGGCTATGGTAGAGCACTCCAGCATTTAAATGTTAAAAAATCTTTTGTGTCTCGTACCATCGGGAAGATGACGGAAGAAAACAGCAACATCAGCAGAAATTGTTCGAAAAATAAAGAAACGACTCGATCGAAACCCGCGTGTCAGTGACCGAAAAATGGCTCGTGAGCTGAACATTGCAATATTCCATTCGGCAAATATTGAAAAAGGAGCTTGGGGTAAAGCCATTGAAATTCTGAAAAGTGCAAGATCCGCAACTAAAAGAAAATAGACTCAAAAGAGCTAAAGAGTAGCTTAGCTTGACCGAAAGTGGTGAACTGCGGAATTTGGTTTTCTCCGAAGAGAAAAAATTCGTTGTCCAGATACCAATCCGCTGCACTATTGTGTCTGGAATATTTTGGAAAGCAAGGTTGGCATTAAAAAATACCAAAGTTTCGATCACCTCAAGCAAGTACTTCACTGGGAATGGGCCAAAATACCGCAGAGAAACGAAGATTACAATTATTTTGTGAATATGGAAATCACTTACATGGGGGTTGATGTTGAGATCTTCAAAGTACTAAAAATCTGGATGTATCGGATGTTGGAGTTTAGACAGAAATGGGAATTATTTTAAATATAGGGCAAAATATTAAAAACGCAAACCAAGTACTTTATTTTTTTAATTAATTGTTGGCTATGCAAGAATAGGTGCCTTCTGCTTCAGGAGAACCTCTACTTCGGTTTTTTTTTTTGTTAATTATCCAGACAAACTATTGACGTTGCTTCATCGAAAAAAATTCCTCAAATTGATTTGACCCCGATACCTGCAACGTCTAAAGCCTTAGCCATAGGTCTGGTGGACCTAGACACAGGTCTAGTCAGAAGTTAACTCTTAAAAGCTTTGCTTCTTAAGATAACAATATGATATATGAAAGTGGTTTTGGAAATGTGTACTAAGTGTGCAAACTATACTAAATGGTACCAAATTTGGTTTGGTTTAGGGTGAAGCCGGAATTTTGAAATTTTGTATTTTTGGTCCCGGTTGGCGGTCGATTTCTGATAATGAGGTGGTTTTGGAAGTGTGTACTCCAAGTGCACGAAAATAAAAAATTTGGTATTGGGTGAACAAATAGTGCTTCAAGTTCGAAATTTCGTGTTACGGCAGCTGTTCATGTGTACCCTGGAAAAATGGAGGTGACTTCGGAAATGCGTACTATAATTGTATGAAAATTACTGAATGGTATTCTAATTGGCATTGGGTGAAGGGATATAGATACAATTCTGAAATTTGATATGTAGATTACAAAAGGTATCTGCGTTCGAGGTTTTGTTTGGAAATGCTTTCCATATTTAAACGAAAAGTTCTAAATTTGCTATTGGATGAAGGCAATTGGCTGGAATCCTCAAATTTAATATAAAGGTCTCTGTTGATATTTCGAACTGAGAGTTGGTGGTCGTTTGGAAATGCGTCCTATATATACATACGAAAAGTACTAAATGGCATTACAAGTATACGAAAAGCACAAAATACAATTTGATATTGGGTGAGCAGACAGTGCTTGAAATCTGAAAATTTGTATTAGGATTCGTTGTTCATGTGTAGCCTGGACATATGGAGGTGATTTCGGAAATATATACTATAATTTTACAAAAGTACTAAACGGTACACAATTTGGTATTGGATGAAGCGATAGGGCTGGAATCCTTAAATTTGATACTGAGGTCTCTGTTGGTATCTGGAATTGAGATAAGGTGATGGGCTTGGAACTACATATAACAAAAGTACTAAATCTGGTATTTAACGAAGGAATAAAGCCAAAGACTTTAAATTTGATATAGATATCACTGTAAGTGTCTGTGGTTAAGATATGGAAGTAGTCTTGGAAATCTGCTCTGTAATTGTACTAAATGGTACTTAATTTGGTAATGTGAAAGTACTGAGATGAAATTCTGAAATTTGATATTATTGTCACAGTTGGTATCTGAGGTTGAGACATGGAGATTGTTTTGAAAATGCTTGCTTAAAGTGTCCGAAAACGTTAATGGTACTAAATTTGGTATTGAGGTAAGGAATATGTTGAAATCGTGAAAACTGATACGGTTGCCACCGCTGGTCTCTGTATTTTAGAGGAGAGGGTTTTCGAAAATGCTTACTATAAACATAAGAAATGTTCAAAATGCCACAAAATGTGGTGTTGGATGTTGGAATAGAAATGGAATTCTGAGATTTGGTATCAAGGTCACTGTTGGTGTTTAGGGCGGAGAGAAGGAGATGGTTTTGGACATGCGAAGTACAACTGTACGAGGATAGAGCAGTCTAAGGATAGAGCTATTTGGAATGCGTAACGGAGTTTGGAACAAAAATAAATTTGCCAAATTATATTGAAATCGGTTCAGATTTGGATATAGCTCCCATATATATTTTCGGCCGATTTCAAGCAATTGATGCACCAAACACGCTATGTATCCCAAATTTCAATGAAATTTGAAACATGTGATGGATTTTATATATATTATTTATTTGGATATAGCTTCCACATATATTTTCGAACGATTTCGTTCAGTTGATGCCTCAAACACGATATGAATGTTCGATTCCAATGAAATTTGGAATGTTTAACGGGATTTGATCCGAAAATAAATTTATCAAATTATATTGAAATCGGTTCAGATTTGGATATAGCTCTCATATATATTTTCGACCGATTTCATATATTTTATGCACCTTACACGATATGTATGTTCGATTCCAATGAAATTTGGAATATGTGACGGGATTTTGATTAGAAAATAAATTTGACGAATTATATTCAAATTCGCTCAGATTTGATTATAGCTCCCATATATATTTTCGGTCGATTTCACATATTTGATGGACCTAAAGCGAGAGAGACGAAATCTGGCGCCAGAAAAAAATTGCCAAATTATATTGAAATCGGTTGAGGTTTGGGTATAGCTAACATATATATTTCGGCCGACTTCGTACATGTTATGTACCAAACACGATATATATGAGCGATTCCAATGAAATTCAGAATGTGTGGCAAAATTTGGTTACAATAATAAATGTGATAAATTAATTGGAAATTAGTAAAGAGCTATATCCAACTCCCATATATATATTCTCTGCCGATTTCAAATATTTGACGCACCAATTTCAATGAAATATGAAAGTTGTGGCGGAATTTGGTGTAAAAGTACGTTTTTTAAAATTATATTTAAATCGGATCAGATTGGGATATGATTTTAATAAGAACCACAACAACACAACAGTCAATTTGAAAGACGCTTATTACGGGGAAGTATGTTGCTACCTCGAATTCACTAATTGCAATAGAAACGCCACTCAACTTCAAAAACTGCACGTTTGGTATTTGCTATGAAATAAATAAATCCGAAGGACAAACCCTTCGTGTATGCATGTCATGTTACTGCTTTTCTAATGGTTTTGTTATTAACGCATTAAGGTAGTGTAATATTTTTTTTATCCAACATATATTCGTAAATAAAATTTTGAATGCATATAAAATCAAAAGGGGTAGTGAAGCGCATCGGGTTCAGCTAGTAATATATAAAACCTAAAAAGTCTGAGAATTTAGTACGAAGTATAAAGTTTTGATTTTTTTTTTTGCTAAAATGAACAAATTGAGTACTAAAAATGGTAGCATGAACTGTTGGCAAAAAATCTAATTTTAAGGTGGAATTTTCAATGACCATTTAGCGGGTTCTTGCTAGTATCTACACAGAGAAAAAAATTAACCTTATACAAGGTTAGCTTAACCATAAATAAACATGATTTGGAGTCTACGTTATGTAAGGTTAATTTAAACATTTTCTTGTTGACTGGTATTTAAAAATAATCATCGTTAATTTAGCTATTGCATGATTGACTTTTTTAACCACGAAAATTGTTGATATTGAAAAAAATTGTTTTTTTTAACAATGCACTGTTAAATTTTTGTAACCATGAGAATTGTTAATAATAACATTTCATAGTCAGTTTGTCTAAACAGTTCATATGATAATTTTTAATAATAAATTAACCTTTGTTTGAATAAAACAAGAAAAATGTAATTTTTACAAGTTTATTTATTATTTATTTATTAATACCGCATATTTCTAAAATATGTATTTCCATTACAAATTGTATGTATATTTAAGGGAGGGCTGGTAAAGAAAGATATATGTTTAATATAAATTTTATTTTTTAACGCCTTACCGAGTGATTTTAAATTATATTCCTCAGCCATTGTGAAAAAAACTACAAAACGCCAAACACCAACTGCAAAAACAGAAGAAGAAAGTAGTAGTTAATAAAAGCAAATAGTATTGTCACAACTTACCAAAAATGTACGCACGAGCACCCAAAAAAAAAAAAGACACCAGAGAAAAAAAAAACAACTGAGAAGAAAAAACAAAAAGATATACATAAATACGAACACTGTCGCTTCAACAACAACAACAACAACGTACATTTGGTGACAAATGCATACGCTAATGTACGTCGTAGCAGCCACAAGCAAAGACAAAAAGAACACATATGTATGAATAAACACTCACACATTATTTCTCTCCTCATTTTTGCTTGTCGCTGCATATACGTTGTTGTTGCTTGTTTTTTTCATGTATTACCGTTATTTTTGTTTCTTTATTGTAATTTATAGTTTATTTGATAGACAAATCTGATACAATTTGAATATAGCAATAACACATTACTATGTTGAAATAGTATCAGGGTTTTCTATTAAAACAAATACAAATTACAATCAAATATATTTGTTAATTTCACCAGCTTTTACTTACCTTTATACCAAGCACTATTCCCACGAGCACGTGCACAACTCCCTTGCACTATTCAACACCAACTAAAGAAGTGATTGTCTATTTGATCTTTCTTACACATATTCAGACCACAGAAAGAGATTCGATAAAAAGGAGGAGGGGGAATATGACAGTCACATTCGTTGCAACTTCGTATATTGTAATATTGAACTTCGTCAAACACAAAGCAGTTCAAAATTGTTGACCACAACAGAGCCGAAGGCTCTTTAAATTTTTATGTGTCTCTCACATTTTTCCGTCTCTCTCAAAAAACAACAACCTTATACAACGTTAATTAAACTATTTTTCATCTACATTTGACCTTATATAACGTTATTTTGTGTTTGTAATCTCAAACATTTACCATGAAAAAATTAACCATGTACATGGTTAAAAAAGTCATTGTATTTTCGGCTCTGTATACATATTTGCAAAAAATACAAGCTATAATATTATGTTCCATTTCCGATTGATAGCCTCTAATATGCCTTATAGAATTTTTGTACTTACGAATGGATTGGAATATTAAAAACGTACCTGAAATTAGGAAAAAAAACAATAATAAATATTTTTTTTACAAATAGAAAATAAATAATGTAAGTATTTTAAATAAACTAAGGTAAAAAAATCATCAAAATATTAATGAAAATTAAGGTCAATCTTGAAAAAATTTATAAATTTGAACCTTAGAAACCTACCGTAATATGAAAGCTATATGAAATGCATACAGATTTTTTGTGGGGAGTAGACGTTCTTAGTGAGAGAATGTGGTTTATTTAGATATGGCTTTTTTGCTTAAAGTTAAATAATGAACTTAAACATCGAAGCTGTATGAAGACTTAAAAAGATTTTGGTTGTTTTTTTTTTTTTTTTTTTTTTCTTTGTTGGGAGGCGAAATTCGCAGTGAGAAAATGCGGTCAGAAACTTCTAAATACCTTAAATTAGGTGGTACCATTGTATCAGGGCTACCCCTAAGCATTTACCGGCACATCGGAAGAATTTGAGTTATCCTGATCAATAAATAAAGGGAATAAAGGGACCCTTTCCATTTTTTTCTCCTCCTCCTCCAATATATTTTAACTCAACAGCCTCCGGTCATCTTACTCAAACGTAGATTTATTTGTTTTCCAAAAATTGGGTGCTTTACCGGAGTAACCTCTAACCTCTATTAAGGTTATCATGTAAGCGCTTTCCTAAAAGGAAAGTAAACCCGTTTCTTGTTTTCAATATCCATTTTGAACTAATTAAAACTTATTTTTTTCTGATGGTCATTTGGATGTTACAGAAAACTGCTGAATTTTGATTATTTTACATTTTTGTTCTTCTTTATTTTTACATTTTCATCACCCGGCCTTTTTGTTCTTTTTTATTGTTGTAACAATTGATAAATCGCTTTTTTATGAACGATTTCGATGATTTATCTTCCGCTTTTTAGGTTCCTTTCAAAAACGACACTCTTCTCTCCGTTTAATTGCGGTCATAAATCTTGTTTGAATTGTTGGATTGGACTTTGCCCTTAGTGGCATTTATATTTTGCTATGGTTTCAGTTTTTGTCTGTTTGTATGTGTGTTTGTGTTGACCATGGCATGCCATGGAGGAATCGCTGTTACAAATAAAAATTCGTTCCCCATTTGTTGTAAATATATGTATTGTTTTGTGGCATTAATTGTTGTACGAAGGCATAGCAAATGGAATAGAGTGCTAGAGTGCGAGATGGATAGAGAGGGGGGAAGGAAGACCAACAGAAAAAAACAATCAGTGCAATTCTAAATGTGGCAATTTTTGTATCTCTCTGCATCGAGGTAATCCGAATATGCCTGGCTACATTTGCCCGCTGATGACGTTTGGTCGATGTCTCTTTTAAAGCCCCTAAGAGCTCTTAAAACACCATTACACACAAAGATCCCAAATAATTCCGCCAAGTCATGGTGCCACAAAGCTGGTCATTCAGTCAGCCATCCTACCTACCATTTGTTTGTTACATTAATAACTAAATTCCAGCTGCTACCTGTCCTTAATTTTTCGGTCATAAGCAACGCCCGACTACTGCATGCCACATTTTCCAACACTGCTCTTTGTTATTATTGTTGTTGCTGTTGTTTGTGTTCCGCCACCAACAACACTTTGAAAACGCTAATGTAAATAAAATAATTTCTAAATTGCATGTTGCACCCTTTTAACACTCTGATGTGCACTTTGCAGCAATTGTTTGTTTTTCGTTATTTTGTTGTTGTTTTAAATTGTTTTTGTTGTAGTTTTTTTTTTTTTGTTGAGTTGGTTTATGAATGACTTAAGAGATACACTCGAGAAAATGAATTGATTTGAGAAGGAGGGGTTATCTGGGAATGTGTGAGAAATTTTGAGCAACAGTGCATGGCTGCTAATGGGTTTCATTGGCTGCCATTAGAGTGCCAAATGGAAGGTGATATTTACTTAGGGGCAAAAAGAATGAGTATCAAAATTTAATTCAATAATTAAAATTTATTCCCCGAAGATCCCGCAATTCCGAGTTAGAGTCGGATACCAGAGATAAAATAAAAAAAAACATTTTTTTTTAAATAAAAGTGTCAGTCGGGTTGTATTTTTTTTAATATTAGATTTTTTTTTTTAATTTTTTTGATACGTATACTTTTATACTCAGGGCTGTCATAGAAACCAATTTTGTCAATATTGGTTTTAAAAACGACAAAAAAAAATGCTTCGGTGTCATGAAAATCAATGTTATTGGTTTTATTTTCGAATTAGAATTTTATGGGTTTTGGTTGTCATAGAAGCCAATGTTATTGGTTTTGTTATTGGAAATAAACCAAGTTGCTTAGAGCTGTCACTTTTCATTTGCTTTGGATTTTTTAAACAATTTTTAAAGGACTAAAAATGTGGATTTTTAAAGGATATTTAAAGGACTAAAAATGTGGATTTTTTAAGGAATTTTTAAGGGATATTTAAAGGACTAAAAATGTGGATTTTTTAAACAATTTTTAAAGGATATTCAAAGGACTAAAAATGTGGATTTTTTAAACAATTTTTAAAGGATATTTAAAGGACTGATAATGTGGATTTTTTTTTAACAATTTTTCAAGGTTATTTAAAGGACTAAAAATGTGGATTTTTTTAAACAATTTTTAAAGGATATTCAAAGGACTAAAAATGTGGATTTTTTAAGGAATTTTTAAAGGATATTCAAAGGACTAAAAATGTGGGTTTTTTAAACAATTTTTAAAGGATATTTAAAGGACTAAAAATGTGGATTTTTTAAACAATTTTTAAAGGACTATAAACGTGGATTTTTTTTAAAGAATTTTTAAAGGATATTTAAAGGACCATAATCGTGGATTTTTAAGGATAAGGACTAAAAATGTGGATTTTTTAAACAATTTTTAAAGGACTATAAACGTGGATTTTTTTTTAAAGATTTTTTAAAGGATATTTAAAGGACCATAAACGTGGATTTTTAAGGATTTTTTAAAGAATATTTAAAGGACCATAAACGTGGATTTTTTAAGGATTTTTTAAATAATTCTTAAAGGACCATAAACCATAAATCTGCAAAGCAGCTTTATGAGTAAGTTCACAATAAAATAATTACTTACGCTATCTCCGGCAACTCCAGTGGGTTGCTGAAATATCGAAGAGCTTTTCTCGTCACCTTTTCTGAGCGTTCTTCGTCCAACAACACAAAAACTACCACTGCTGATGCCATCTTACTTTATTTACTTATTCCTTTTTTATTTACTTTACTTTTACTGATATCTCAATGACAAATAAACAAACAACACATGTAAGCAACAACAGCTGTTTCGAACATTGGTTTTATTTAAATTCGAAATTGACAAAACCAACTTGTTGTCATGACACCAAATGAAACCAACATTGGTTTACAAAAACGACAATAAGCAAAACCGACAAGGTTTCTGTGATAGCCCTGACTAAATTTAATGTTAGTACGAATATTGCAATGTACGAATTTTGAAAAGAGCTGGGAATTATTTTCAATTCTTTTTTAATTTTTTTTATTCATAATTATTCAAAATATTGACCCTTTGTTCAAAGTTAAAAGAAATATCTGTAAATTGTTTTGCATCTTATGAGAGGTATTCAAAATGTGTGGGGAAGGTACCAAAAGGGACCGAATATACCCCATATTTGTATTTTATCTGTAGTTGGTAAAAAACATAGATACGAAGTTTTAAACAAATCGTTGACTCAATTCCCATATCATGTGCTGTTATGTGAAGGGATATAACTAAAAACTTGAAATTTGGTACGAGAATCAAGGTTGGAAGGCAAGTTTAATAAATGAAGGGGATTTTGAAAATGTCTGCTAAGTGTGCGAACTTTGCTAAATGGTGCTAAATTTGCAACACTTTCGTTCAGGGTGGACGGATGACGCTGAAATTGTATATTGGGGTCCCTTTGGTAGTAGGTTTAAGATTAAGAGGTAGTTTTGGAAATGTGTAATACAAATGCACAAAAAGTACTAAATAGTACTATATTTGGAACAATTTAGTATTGGGTGAACAGATACTGTTTGAAAAGTGAAATTTTATATTAGAGTCGCTGTTCATGTGTAGACTGGACATATGCAGGTGGTTTCGGAGATGTGTACTATAATTTACGAAAAGTACTATACAATATTTACAATATACAATATTTGGTATTAAATGAAGGGATAGAAATACATTTCCGGAATATGATATCTAGATTATTGACGGACTCTGTTTTTGATATTTGTCGGTGGTTTGGAAATACCTACTAACTGATGCTAAATTTGGTATTGGATGAAGGCACAGGGCTGGAATTTTCCAATTTGATATTAAGATATGGAGGTTGTTGTATGGATATATGGGAATTGTTTTAAAAATACGTACCATAATTGTTTGAAAAGTACTAAATTGTATTTAGTTTGGTATTGGGTGAAGGGATATAGCTAAAATCCAGAAATTTTATAAGGATGTCCCTGCTGGTGTCTGAGGTTGATGTATGGAGATTGTTTTGCGTATTTTAACTGTGCGAAAAGAACTAAATTTTGTATCGGTTGAAAATATAAAGCTGGAAACCTGAAATTTGGTATTGAGGTTTCTGTTGGTATTTTGTTTCGGTTTTGCAAATGCGTACTATAATTGTTCGAAGAGTA